TGAATTTGGAATAATCAAAATTTTAGAGATCAATTTAGAATGAGAGTTATAATTTAAGGATGAAATTAAAATATTCAAAAAATTAAAAACCAATTTAAAGTAAGAGTTATACTTTATGATGCGAGTACAATTAACTCATAAAAACTCAACTAACTCCACGCTAAAATATTATAATTTTTATTTTCAACCGTTTATTACCAACCAATAAATACAATATGATTTGATAATAATGATTAGGGATGGGCATTTAAACCAGACCCGACGGGTTTCGACTCGACGGGTTTCGACCCGATCTGACCCGATCGGATAGGATTTTCTAAAATAAATTCGAGTTCGGATCGGGTTTTTTTATGCGGTGTTTGGGTCGGATTCGGGGTTTAGGGTGAAAAAAATCCGATCCGACCCGGAAAAAATATATAATTGTACCCTATATATTTAGGGATAATTATAATAATACCCCTCTATATATAATTTTTTTCAATTAAGTCACTGTTTTTATTGAATAAAAATATTTTTTTTTATTATTTAGGGTCGGATTTCTATGTCATATATTCGGGTCGGGTCGGTGAAACCTTGTTTTGGTCGTGTAGGGGTCTCGGGTGGAGGCTCTCTTGTTCTCGGGTCGGGTCGGGTGGACCAAAAATCCGACCCAACCCGACCCATACCCATCCCTAATAATGACTGAAATATTGGGTGATTTAAAACTATAAATAATGATAATAATAATAATAATAATAATAATAATAATATGTTTATATATATGATAATTGCTTGAATATTACAGCAGAAAATTTGAAAAGAAATACAATTTTAACAAAACAAACGGTTGACAAGACCAGCAAAATCAACGGCTGAGATTCAAAGGAATGGCTTGGTGGGTGGTGAAGTCGGCATCAAATGCTGGTAAGAGGTAGGCCATTTCTAAAAATCAGTTGAAAAAATGGAGGGTCCTGATTGAATCATGAGCCTCACTTTATATAATCGCTTTCACCTACTACCTTAGGTTTGGAAATTTTATATTTTCCCAACTCATTATAGTAACGAAATCCAACAAAAATATATTATAATTGAAAGATTATTTATACATTTTATTTTAGAAATTATAAATTATCGTTTAAAAGTTTTACTTTGCAGTATCAGTTTTTAATTACTTCTACTTCGTACAAAGTTTATGCTCATGTGAGAAATAATTATTATAATCATTTTACAATTCTTAATATTTTATAATTTAAAAATAACTTAAATATGATTAACTTTTTAAAACACATGTATTGCCCTATAGTGTTGAGCAACGAAATCGATAAAATCGAAAAACCGACATGAATCGAGTAAAATGGTCCGGTTCGGTTTGGGTTTACATTTAAACGGTTCAGTTTCTGGTTGATTTAAAGAATCGATTCTATTGATTCGGTTCGGTTCGAGTTTTTCATATGGAACTCACTTGTTCCATATAGAACCGAATATATAATTTTTTTTAATTTATAGTTTCAAGTGAAGTTTTCATTGAAAAATCGACAAAATCAAACCGAAAACACCGTATTATCGAACCGAATCGAACCAAAAAAATCGATTTCACATAATTCGATTTTTTAACCATTCGATTTTTATTTCGGTTTAAATTTTAAAAAAAAACTTTTATTTCGGCTCGATTCAATTTTTAGTAAAAATCGAACCGAACCGAATACACTCCTATGCCCCCATTCCCTTTATCGAAAGCCCAGTTACTTACCCACAAAACAGCACTGTCTCAAGATATATCGAGTCTCGAAATAAAATAATTTAACTTAGATATGATTTGATAAAATTAATTTTTTTTAAAAATCGAGTCAAATTAGGATTGAGTTTTATATATAATAATATTGGATTAGAGTCGAATGAAGAGTAAAAATATATATTTTTAAAAAAGATTAATTAATTGATAATAAAACATAATATGTAGATCGGATGGTAAGAAATATAAAATCGATCGATTTTGACATAATCTAATTTATTAGAGTCGAGTTTTTAAAAAATAAAGTTAAATAAGATTTAAATATGATTTTATATAGAGTGAGGTCGAGCTCAGATAAAAGATAAAAAAATCTTCAATCTGACCTTTCTTGGAAATAATAGTATAACTTTTTATATATAAAAATTTATGAAAAATTGGTATAATATTTCTTCTTTCTAGTTTCTTTTAATTAAATTCTTATTTTAAGTCGGGTTAGATTAAGTTGAAACAGATTTACACTCTCAAAATTCGAGTCATATCAGGCTTAAGTAGAGGAAATATGCTCTTCGAGTTAGGTCAGATCAAATCGGATGGAGAGTATATATTTTTGAGTCGAATCAAGTTTAAGTGGAAGGTATATATTTTTAGTACAGTTTCAACATCAACTTTCGTAACCTGACATTAAAAATCATCGTGCAAGTGAAGTATGAACAAAATGCATAAAGCCTAAATACAAAAGGAAATATAATGAATGGGCCTCAATAAGGACAAAATATGAAGAAGAAGAAGAAAAAATGGTTGTCTTTTGTTTCCATATGTAATGGTGTAAGGGGGAGGTAAGATAGTAGGCTGCCCCCAACACCAGGTTGAGAGCAGCTTTCGTAGAAGACCTCCGAATTATGAAATGTCCTCCGTAAGACTCGATCCCACGAGAGCAAGTGGGTTAATTATATTTAAACAATTAAAAATATAACTAATTCCTAAGACTTGTCGATTTCTGACAGGTTAACCTAATTTTTTAATTATATTTCTTGTCCCACTATCCCATTGGGTTAATTGGGCTTCCTTGCATGTATATGGTTGTGGGTTAATTATATAGGGTTAATTATTTTTTCATATAATGTATCAACTATATTATTTTTTGAACTAGACTTCTTATTGGTCTGAATATGTCGTACATTTCTAGGGTTTTATTGAAGACAACATGCAGTCGTGGAGTCTTCATATTTAGCTTCAAGACGCGTGGAACACCTGGCGTCTTTAAGTTGGTACTGTTCAATTCACCTAAGATGAAAAAATAATCCTCGAATTAAACTATATTAAAAATTAAAAAAAATCACTTACATTACCTCAGCCATTTTGTCGTTTGGTGCTGTTACCTAACTATGAAAAATCTCTTATTAATTTGCAATAATATACGCCAACCAAACCCAATTCTTGTCCTTTTGGTGTAAATAATTTAAGATGAAGCCTATTAATATCTTTCTTATAGGGGAGAAAAGGGTATCCAATAATTATTATTATTTAATTTAAAATATATTTTCACCTTTTGGTTAAATGAAAAAAAAATTACATTTTGACTCTTCTAGAAAATTAATAATTTTATTTAAATTCTTTTAATGTATATTTTTTAATTTAACTTCTTAAAATTTTGTAATTTTATTTTATCGTATCTTAAATCTTTTGATATTATCCCTGAAAATGACTTGATAAATTGCATCAAGAACCATAGTATAGATTTTGGATAAACTATGACACATATTGAGCTGTTGTCAACATAATTCCAAAACATTTTACGAGCAAAATCTTAAATGAGACTGCCAAAGCTTTTAAGCCTTGAATTTACCATGTGGGGAAGAAAAAGATTGACCTTGTCGATATGCTGGCATCATGCTCATCTGAGCTTGATGCTAGAAGTCATGTGAGTTTTATTTTCTTAGATATGATATTATGATCAGGGATAGACGCTGAAATTTTAAAATTTTAGAAGATACGAATTTTTAAAATTCTATAAGGACAAAAATAAATTATTGATAGAAAATATTTAAAATATATGATAATTTAAATTTTTTATGAAAGACTGTCCCATCCTCTCTCGAGATACATCCTTGATTATGACCTAAATTGTTTTATGAAATATTTAATATAAAATAATTTAAACTAAAAATACCTCAAACTAGAATAATTAAGCTATTAAATGAAATTACGTTAAATATGTAAATTATAATTTTTATAATATATATATATATATTTGCTTTTAAGTACCTAAACTGAGGCAGTCATATCTTTTGCTACCACAGAGCTTTGAGAATTTGATCCCATTTCACTTTGTCTAACCATGTATAAACATAACATTAAAGGATTTATATTTATTGTATTAACATTTTATGAACATCAAATAAATAATAATTTTATATACATTGGTGAATTAATTTTCGGATTAATTTATCATAGTTGTGCATCAGATATATATACAAATTTATCCTTAAATGTTTCAGGTTCGAGCAGGGTATCAAATAGCGTTTCGAAAACGTGATAGTGGCCGTGATATCGTGGTCGCGCCACCGTCCGAAACCGATTTTCATGGTTTTTACGGTGGGTCACAGGTTCACACCAATCTCGATCGATTGTGTCTGTAATTTAATAGAAAACGAACTATTACGTCGATAACGGGACACAACAACCGTTATCCAACCGTGATTCCAAAACAAAAACATTGGTGGCGCATTTATTTTTTTCATACAATGATGGAAAGGAGGAAGGGGGAGGCAATTTTATTTTTTTTAATAATTTTTAAAATATAATTTTAAAGGATATATTAATTTGAGATCTTCTACTTTTAGAATTTATAATTTAATCCCTAGTTTAAAATGTAAACTTTAATTTTTATTTAATTTAGTTTTAATTTCATTAATCTAAATTTATGCAATTTAAATTTTACAATTTATTTTAATTATATTTAATTTAGTCATTTTAGGGTAAATTGTGCGACATTTAAAAAAATTCACGACCGCTATACCCGCAATGACCGCAATGACATCCGTTATGTCCGCAACCGTGATAAATGCGACGTGATCGAAAACGTGACCGCGAACGCTATTTAAAACCCTGGTTCGAGCACCAGAGACTACAAAGGTGTTTGAGCTTTCATTATCAAATGATTGAGAATCTTTAGAACACATATTATTTGTAATCACCTTAGATTAATAAAAAAAAAAAAGATTGGGAAGTAGCCAAATTTCCATTTCTCAACCAAATTTGGTCATAAACAAATGACATTGACGTTCTTACAAGCATTTAGTCCTTAACATGGATAATAAAATGGACTAGAATGTTAAAATTGAAGAAAACAGAGCATAAAAGCAAATTCTTATGAAAGTTGTTGATGAGCAAATCGATCCTCCCGCAGCTAAAATCATATATGGGTTAATCACCTCAACGTCCCCAAAAGGGCATTCGTATTTCCTAACACTACTTAAATTCCCATTATTTTGCATTCATGCCCTTCATCTTTTTACAAATTCAACATATGCATTATCTATTTTCATTTTTTTTTTGTTTTTGGTTAGCAAGTGTAGAACTCGACCAGCTCTTCCATGGAACCCAACTGAGCTCCGTCGTTCTCGAGCATCCAAAGCAAGTGATCGAACAAAACAACCTCGCAAGACACCATAACTTCATCATCATCATCATCACCGCTACCAGCACCGCCGCCATTGCCGCCGGACCTATCGATCAGCTCTTGAAAAAGAGGGTGGCAGATGATCTCCGACCTTACCAGGTATCTCCGCCGAGACTTGCCGACATAAACTGCGTGATGATCCGACGCCGCAATGGCGCTGCTGGTGCGGGTCAGTTTCGTTAGAGACGGCCATCTTTTTATTGCAGATTTGAGCTTTGTTAGCTTCCCAACTTTCGCCATGTATATATTGCGCTCTAAAATTCAAAGTGTTTTGAATGTAGAGAGAGAAAGATGAGAGCATTGAAGAAGAAAGGGGCTCTGTGTTTGAGTCGAAGTGCAGAGAAAATTGGAGGAAGGTTCGTATATAAAGAATGGAGGGGGGCCATTGGCAGACTGACAGGCATTGATAGAGATAAACTATAGGTCAAACTCTATAAAGGTCCCTAGATTATTTGTTTGTTTCTAAATATGTATTGTCCTTCCCGATCCCCTCGTACTAGGGAAAGGCCCTCTATCAATGCTCTAACCTCCACACCGAATACGGACCTAACTGTCTCATGACATTCCGAACCCAATTTATTTATCGCTTTAACGGACAAACAACTCAACCCTTTGAACATATTATACCCCAAGTGGCAAAAAGTCGACAGTGAAGTACTAAACTTTTCCGTTGACGTGAACTCTTGGAAAAGATCAATCTATTATCCTTAAAATAACATTTATTCATTAAGCAACCGTTTATCAATAATAGGATGATTTTTTTCATTAATTCTATCAAATAATTTGATAAGATATATATTTTAAAACATGTGATGATATGACATATACATCTTGACGTTTTTGTACAATTGTTGTCCGACTATAATTAAATACATATCATAAACTAGTAAAGTAGGAATGGTTCAAATTATAAGAGAAGGGATTAAATCTGGCAAGAATATTCAGTAGAGGGATCTTTTAAGGGATTCGACCGGAATAATATTGCACACTGGAAAAATGAGCTTAAGGCCCACCGTTTGATAAAGTAATATTAAAATGAAAATAAATAAAAGAATAGGGAAAATAGCGGTTTCATTGTTCTTGTTCACGCATGATCAAAGGCAACAAAACCTAGCTGTTGGTTGGTAAGCAGTCACCATGTCCAAACAACTAAATATCCAATTTTTTTTGAATTAATTACTGGTATCCGATCTTTTAGCCGATTAATCCAGATCGGGTATTGCAGAGGCGACGGTGACCCTCCCAACCCAATTTGCTTCATTCTTAAATGCCAGAATTTGAACCCATGACCTTGCTTAAGGGATATAATATTTCATCCCAATAAAACAACTAATTAATTATTATTTATTTTGGGTTTTATGTTTCAAAATTTTTAGTATAAAACAAAGCTTCGAGCTGGTAGCACCTCATCTTTCCCTTTGTGCGTTACACTTGTACACATTTTCCGTCCTTTTCTGTATTTTTTAATTATATGCGTTACCAAATCAACTATTTATGAGTACCCGTAATGATATAAAATACATAAACCAATGTTGGAATATCAATACTCTTTGTTATTTAAATTTGTATTTTTTTGCTAAATTTTATGTTAGTTCTTATACCATTAATAAGTGTGGATTCGGTCCATCTATTCTAAATCGATTAATTTTGATCTATGTAATTTTTAAATTTTAATATCAAGTTAATAATTTAAACAACACAGTAACAATAAAGAACAAGAATCACATCTACTTGCACATGATACAGTAACATATTTTTTAATGTCAACTAATAGTTCAGTGATTCTAATGTAAATTTTAAAAGTTCAGTGATCAAAATGTAAGTACCCAAGAGTCAAAGAACTACCAGTAAAATTTAGCCCATTTTTTAATATCACTGTCCAAAATTATAAAGTGGATGGAGCCCTCCACAAAATAAAGCTGCCGACCTCTGTCGTTTAGTATCCTTGGTTGTCAAATACTTTTTCTTAATCATTTTGCTTAAGATTTGATAATTGTGCTTAGGGTTTGTAGTTTCTTTGAGTCAAGTTAGTTTGAGTGGTCACTTTAAAGGGTGAAGCTAGAGAGGAGGGACGGACCAACCGCAAGTGCTCCATACAAACTAAGTGTATGTGTTAGATTGATGGTACTCGTAGGATTAATAATAGGAATGGCAGAACAACCCAAACTCGGTGGGGAAATCCAAAATTCGGTTAAATTTGAGTCGGGTTGTGTTTGAATAATATCGGGTCGAGTCGGATATCGGGGTAAAATTTAGGGATTTTTTTAGGTTCGGGTTTGGGGCAAGGTATCCTCGCCCCGCTCCGCTCCGATTATATATATAATTTTTAAATTTTATATTAATTATATATAATATTTAGTTGATTTATTGATAAATTTCTCAATGTAGGGAGTTATCAAAGAAAGTGACAAAAGTGACACGACGATTTTGGATGACTTTATTTAACTTAATATTACGTATGCATCTTCGTTGTATGATTTGAATATCGGAACAAGTTTGTATTTAATTATGTATGTGTTTTATTTTGGAGTTTAAACAATTATTTAGAATTGGATTTGAATTTGTGACTGTAGTTTGAATTATAAATCATGTAGATTAATTTTCCAGTTTTTTGTGATCGTTTTTCTAAAAAATTTTTATGAAAAACTACGCAGCTAGGTTTTTCTTGGGATCAGGTCGGGTTCAGGGACGGGGCAAAAAAACCCCCCGACGGGGAACGGGCGAGGACGGGGACAGGGGGAGCAAAACCCGCCCCGTTTCCATTCCTAATTAATAATATTATTTGTTCATCAAATTAATATCAGTCTAATGAAATGAGACATTAAATATTTTAAATAAGGTTAACGGTTAAAAATTGACATTATGAATGAAATAGATTGGATTGGGAGAGTCCTCCATACAATGACCTTTTGCAATACTCGATCCGAATTAATCTATCAACATATTACCTATTTGGTCACCCATCTATTACTTAGTTTTTTATTTTTCTCACTCAACTATTCTTTTTTTTTTAAATCGTATCTAATATTGCGTTTTGATTTTATTTTGGTTAATTGCCGTTAAAAATTTAATGGTGATGTTAATGTGACATTTTAAAAAAAAATTCAATCATGGCGAGGCATTACCTTATGGTTACACTTCAACATCACCATTTTTAAACGACGGGTGACTAAAATAAAACCAAAATGTAACGTTAGGTATGATTTTGAAAAGAACAATAGTTGAGTGACCCAAACAAAAACTAAGTGACAGGTGGTGACCAGATAGGTAGTTTACCCTAATTTATATTATAAAGGGCAATATTGGTAAGGTTTGGTAGGTTATAACGTATAGGCAGGCAGTTGGGTAGCTAAGAAATCTCTAGGTTAACATCCAACAAGATCTCAACATTCGGATCACATGGTTTGGAACAAACATTTAGAGATCATGCTGTAGATTTTCAAGGGATTTTATGTCATGTGCCAAGTAGGATGGCAACTCAACCCGAATCCGACGGGTTCCGATTTGACCCGACTCGATCGGGTCAGCTTTTTTTAAAAAAATTCTGGTTCGGGTCGGGTCGGGTCGGGTTTTTTTTAAATGTAATGTTCGGGTCGGGTCGGGTCGGGTTTAGGGTGAAAAAACCCGACCCGACCCGAAAAATATATATAATTTTATCATATATATTTAGGGATAATTACAATAATGTCCCTCCATATATAATTTTTTTCAATTAAGTCACTGTTTTCATTGAATAAATTTTTTTTTATTATTTCGGGTCGGGTCGGGTCGGGTTTTTAAGTCATATATTCGGGTCGGGTCGGGTCGGTGAAACCTTAATTTTGTCGGATCGGGTCGGGTCACGGGTGAAAAACCCTTCTTCTCGGGTCGGGTCGGGTGGCCCAAAAACCCGACCCGACCCATTGCCATCCCTAGTGCCAAGCCTGATGTCCGCCACTACTAATCAATGATCAATTAGCTCCTTATTATTAATTTTAATTATTTGTCATGATATATTTAAATTTGTAGAGATAATGAATGATAATAAATTTAATGTTAATTATAAATCTAATGGATAATGGAAATAACAACAACAACAAAATCCTATTCATATGTAATGGGGTAGGGGAGGTAGGGTAATAGGCTGCCCTCAACTCCAGGTTGAGAGTAGCTTCCGTGGAAGACCTCCGGCAATTAGAAAATTAAAATAAAGATAAAATACAATGCGTGTATAAATATATAAATAAATAAATAAATACATAGTTGAACAGTCTTCATATGCGCGTATGTAATGGGAAGGATTCCCTGCAAATAAATCCCTACGTAAAAATAACTTTGCATATAGACAGAAAACGTAAGACCCGACTAAATTTAAAAAGAGAAACATGAAGAGAATGATACACAAAAGTCATCGACAGCAAGCTACGAGAATGAATAAAATTAAATGGATTTAAAACCTAAACTAAGACAACACTAATCTGCTACCCTATTTCAAAGCCTTCATATATTCCAATGACAGAAATATAAATAGAAATTATTACAAAGATATTAAAAAGAAACAAAGATGCTACACCCTATAGTTGTGACCCATACTACTCGGCTATCATGGTCTTAAGTCCATAATTTCCTATCAGATGTCATGTCCTCGGTAATGGCTAAATCCTTCAAATCAGATCTCAAGCAGTCTACATACTTCCTCCTTGGTCGTCCTCTCCTTCTAACACTGTCGCCTGTAATCGACTCTACCTTCCTGACCATCCGACGGTTGTCGCCTAAGGACATGCCCAAACCACCGTAGTCTTTCCTCCCTCAATTTTTCGGAGACAGACACCATCCCCAAGGACATCCTAATTACAGAGTTTGGTGTCATGTCTCACAGAGTCCGACTTCATGCCCATCGATCATTGGGATAACTAAAATTGGAAAAAAAAATAGATACGGGTACTAATTACAGACTTTGCCCTGAAAACTCATAAAATTTCAGTGAAGCAATTTGTCCATTTTGCTCTGTATTTGAAGAAATTTTCAATCGTCAATCACAAAACCTTTAACACAAAAATTTCCATCGAGAGATGTTTACGTATGAGATAACAATAAAATATATAGCTTGTAAATGGCAAAAAACAAAACAAAATTTCTAGCTTGAACAATTCCTATCCCTCAATTCACTGTTCTTTGTTCCAGAAAATGTAGCACATACCGGAATCAAAACCTTTTACCGGCTTTAGCTGCACTTCTGATGCACTAAGGATGTCGGAATATTGTTCATCATCTGTTCGGAGCGAGGCATGTCATTGACGGAGGGTATGAGTTCCAAGGGATCAATCCTCCAGCACGCAA